AATATGCATACTTTGAATATTTGTAAAACGGCCCCATTAAGGACTTGTAGGAGTGGCCCCTAAATATTTTCATTGAGCACATCTCTACAACGAATAGAAATCTCTGAATAAGTGTTGAACAAAAAATCTTCAAAATCACAAGATCTTTCATTTGATATCAAGAAAAAGGGGCTGACCCCTCAAATTAGGGGCTCAGAGGGGCCAAAAGTCTTTTATCTATAACTCTCTTATGATCAATATTTTGTTATACATTACTGAAGCAAAAGTATTTATCTTAACGATTTGCATCAATATATGATTTTATTTTGATAATATGATACTTAATTAGGGGTCACAAGGGGCCAGAATGTCACATCTTTGACGCCTTATATCTCGAAAAGGGGGAATATTTTGATAAGCAATATTGAACAAAAGATGGTCAGAATAATGTTCTAAACAATATGCATACTTTGAATTTTTGTAAAACGGCCCCATTAAGGACTTGTAGGAGTGGCCCCTAAATATTTTCATTGAGCATATCTCCACAACAAAAAGAAATCTCTGAATAAGTGTTGAACAAAAAAATCTTCAAAATCACAAGACCTTTCATTTGATATCAAGAAAAAGGGGCTGACCCCTCAAATTAGGGGCTCAGAGGGACCAAAAGTCTTTTTATCTATAACTCTCTAACGATCAATATTTTGTTATACATTACTGAAGCAAAAGTATTTATCTTAACGATTTGCAACAATATATGATGATATTTTAATAATATGTTACGTAATTAGGGGTCAAGGGGCAAGAATGTAACATCTTTGACGCTTTATATCTCGAAAAGGGGGAATATTTTGATAAGCAATATTGAACAAAAGATGGTCAGAATAATGTTCTAAACAATATGCATACTTTGAATTTTTGTAAAACGGCCCCATTAAGGACTTGTAGAAGTGGCCCCTAAATATTTTCATTGAGCATATCTCCACAACAAAAAGAAATCTCTGAATAAGTGTTGAACAAAAAATCTTCAAAATCACAAGACATTTCATTTGATATAAAGAAAAAGGGGCTGACCCCTCAAATTAGGGGCTCAGAGGGGCCAAAAGTCTTTTATCTATAACTCTCTAACGATCAATATTTTGTTATATATTACTGAAGCAAAAGTATTTATCTTAACGATTTGCAACAATATATGATGATATTTTAATAATATGTTACGTAATTAGGGGTCACAAGGGGCCAGAATGTAACATCTTTGACGCTTTATATCTCGAAAAGGGGGAATATTTTGATAAGCAATATTGAGCAAAAGATGGCCAGAATAATGTTCTAAACAATATGCATACTTTGAGTTTTTGTAAAACGGCCCCATTAAGGACCTTCATCGATGGCCCCTAAATATTTCTATTCAGCATAGCTCCACAACAAAAAGAAATCTCTGAATAAGTGTTGAACAAAATATCTTCAAAATTACACGATCTTTCATTTGGTATCAAGAATAAGGGACTGACTCTTCAAATTAGGGGCTCAGAGGGGCCAAAAGTCTTTCTTCTTTAACTCTCAAACGATCAATATTTTGTTATACATTACTGAAGCAAAAGTATTTATCTTATTGATTTGCAACAATATATGATAATATTTTAATAATATGTTACGTAATTAGGGGTCACAAGGGGCCAGAATGTAACATCTTTGACGCTTTATATCTCGAAAAGGGGGAATATTTTGATAAGCAATATTGAACAAAAGATGGTCAGAATAATGTTCTAAACAATATGCATACTTTGAATATTTGTAAAACGGCCCCATTAAGGACTTGTAGAAGTGGCCCCTAAATATTTTCATTGAGCATATCTCCACAACAAAAAGAAATCTCTGAATAAGTGTTGAACAAAAATCTTCAAAATCACAAGACATTTCATTTGATATAAAGAAAAAGGGGCTGACCCCTCAAATTAGGGGCTCAGAGGGGCCAAAAGTCTTTTATCTATAACTCTCTAACGATCAATATTTTGTTATATATTACTGAAGCAAAAGTATTTATCTTAACGATTTGCAACAATATATGATGATATTTTAATAATATGTTACGTAATTAGGGGTCACAAGGGGCCAGAATGTAACATCTTTGACGCTTTATATCTCGAAAAGGGGGAATATTTTGATAAGCAATATTGAACAAAAGATGGTCAGAATAATGTTCTTAACAATATGCATACTTTGAATATTTGTAAAACGGCCCCATTAAGGACTTGTAGAAGTGGCCCCTAAATATTTTCATTGAGCATATATCCACAACAAAAAGAAATCTCTGAATAAGTGTTGAACAAAAAATCTTCAAAATCACAAGATCTTTCATTTGATATCCAGAAAAAGGGGCTGACCCCTCAAAATAGGGGCTCAGAGGGGCCAAACGCCTTTTATCTATAACTCTCCAATGATCAATATTTTGTTATACATTACTGAAGCAAAAGTATTTATCTTATTGATTTGCAACAATATATGATGATATTTTAATAATATGTTACGTAATTAGGGGTCACAAGGGGCCAGAATGTAAAATCTTTGACGCTTTATATCTCGAAAAGGGAGAATATTTTGATAAGCAATATTGAACAAAAGATGGTCAGAATAATGTTCTTAACAATATGCATACTTTGAATTTTTTGTAAAACGGCCCCATTAAGGACTTGTAGAAGTGGCCCCTAAATATTTCCATTTATTATATCTCCACAACGAAAAGAAATCTTTGAATAATTGTTGAACAAGAAATCTTCAAAATCACAAGATCTTTCATTTCATATCAAGAAAAAGGGCCTGACCCCTCAAATTAGGGGCACAGAGGGCCAATATTCTTTTATCTATAACTCTCTAATGATCAATATTTTGTTATACATTCTTGGGGCAAAAGTATTCATCTTAACGATTTGCATCAATATATGATAATATTTTTATCATATGCTACGTAATTAGGGGTCACAAGGAACCAAAATGCTCTATTTTTTATGCTTGATGTCTCGTAAAGGGGGAGTATTTTCATAAGACTCATCAAACAAAAGATTTTCAGAATATCGTGATAAAAATGAGAAATTTTAACCAGGGAAAACTCAATGTCATTCTCTTTAAACAAATATCTCAGTCAAAATCACATCTCAACTTATCGAGAAATTCAACGGAAGACCTACTCGTTGCTCGCAACGAGATCTTATCTAGTTATTATTATTTTTCTTCCTGGGAAAGTTTTGTACTTGAGTGATCTTGTAAACTACACATCTGACTAAGGTAAAATGTTTTTAGGGTCAGTAGACATGTTATGTAGATTTGCCGAACAAAGGTCATTTTGCGCGCACGTGCTTGCAAGAGCGCGCACGTGCAACACTTGAAATGACCGATTTAAATGTTATAGGCATAACTTTTCACATTTTTGATGAAATGCTTTGAAACTCATAATATAAGGATATATTTGTGACATAAACAATATGACATGGTCAAAATAGCAAGATCTCACGCGCATGCATGTGCGCTTCGCTCTGATTGGCTGAAACTAGAGTCTCTATATCTTTCTTGTTTCTTGACGACATTCTTTGAAATTTTGAACATAGCCATGCATTAAGATATCCTACAACCTGATATATAGCAATTATCATGAAAACACGTGCATGCACGTGCGATGTAATCTGATTGGCTGAAACTTTAAATAGCTATAACTCCCTTGGTTGTCAACCAAACAGGATGGGATTTGGAACATTGATAGATATAATGAACTTACTAGAAGGTATGGTCACCATGCACATGCATAGACGTGCGTGTACGTGCTCTGCAATCTGATTGTCTTAAACTTTAAATAGCTATAAATCCCTTGGTTTTCAAACAAACAGGATGGGATTTGGAACATAGATATATATAAAGGACTTCTACAAGAAGGTATGGTCACTATCCAATGCATACATGTGCGTTTACGTGCGCTGCAATCTGATTGGCTGAAACTTTAAACAGGTATAACTCCCTTGGTTTTCAACCAAACGGGGTGGGATTTAGAACATAGAAAGATGTAATGGACTTCTACAAGAAGGTATGGTCACCATGCTCATGTATGCACGTGCGTGCATGTGAAATGGGTAAAATCAAAAATACACTTGAATGAGCGTTTTTTTTTTTTTGTTTTTTTTTTTGTTTTATACTTTTGGATTAAATACTTTAATATTTAGCATATTAAAATATATTGATTGTGTAGACAATATGATATGGTCATTACGCACATACATTCACATGCGCAAGTGTGCAATGATAAAATTCGAATGAACATGGTACGCTTCTGAGTAAACGTTGTTAAAGTCTCAAATGCATAGTTTGTCTTATTTTATTAAGCTTACAGGGAATATGAATATAAAAGGGAGTTGGGGAGCATTTGGGGAACATCTGTAACGGTCCCCGTTACAATTAGCACTAGTTTCCGTTGAAATGATGAAAATACCCTATTTTATATGCTGACATGAATTCTTAAAAACGCAACATTTTCATCTATGAACGACTTGTTTCATACCAACTATAACCGTACTCCGCCATATATCTTTCCGATACGTTGTCTTATTGTTACGATCTATACCCTAATTTTTGGGGTTTTACGTCGTTAACCTCATTAACAAAAATTTGCAGACTATCGGTATTGTTGTGGATTAGGTAAGATATAAATTGTACTCTATTCGCTCATTGGTCTGTATAAATGTTACAGCTAACCAGCGTGCGCAAAACAATTTATGTTCGGCAATATTACAAATGAAGCGTGTGAGATGATGCGTAAGTTTTTGGTGCTCTCTACTCAAGAAAAGCGTCCCCTGCTTGACGCTTAGGAAAAAAAAAACACAATCTGACTAAAGCCAGCCCTCTATTTACGCTATCGCATAGAGGATCTGATAACTCCCCATTAGAGGTCATGTTCTGGTGAACTTTGTATTTGCATATTGCGTCAGATTTTCAACCAATCAGATAAGCTGTTGTAAATGAAGTTCCTTGTATGAAGAAAAATGGCGGATGTTGATCGGGTAGTGCAAGAAGTTTTAAAAACAATCCGTATTAAGTCCATTAAGAACGAACAGAAATTAATTTTGAAATGTTTAATCGAAAATAGAGACTGTGTTGCGGTGTTACCAACCGGGTTCGGAAAATCACTTCCATTTCAATTGTATTTGCCAGTTAAGAGAGCTTTGGAAGATGACGAGAGCTTTGGGAAAGTTATCGTTTGTTGCCTTCTTGTTTCGTTAATGCAGGATCAGGTCAACAAGCTCTCTTCTCTTGGACTGATTACGGCAGCTTTTAAAGGTTGGTCTTTAAATTCTGATTACCGCAAGGCATATTGTCGTGTAAAGAGTTCTGTGTTTACCTAGTAAAAATTCGAATTATAATTTAACAAGTCGGACACAACCATTAGTGGTAGTGAAACCTAATAATAGCTCTTGTTTTTCTAATAGATAAATTTAGCCATATTAACAAAATTTCCAAAGTATTGAAACTAAAACGCAAATTGCTCTCAGATTTGTCATATTTGAATCTTGAACATTTATCACAATGCAGTATTCAGCAGCTTTTAAATGTGAAAAAATGTATGTTAACTTAATGATATGTGTTGAGACAATATTAAGTATAATTACATCTTATTGCTGTGTATGATTGATAGGCAATGATCATGTTGACACTGACAATTTTCTCCGAATTAGTCACTTATATGCATTTTTTTCATGTTTGAATAAGTTGAACAGCTTATCAAATATAACAAATTTGTATAGCTTTCTAAAGCTAAATAGTTTTTCACACTACATGTCTATAGATGTAAATGTATATAGATATAGATATAAATATTGTGCCAGACTTGTTTAAGTCCATTGAGGTGCAACCAGTTTAACAATTAGATATACTGACTATGCATGCAGTCAGGTCATCAGGACATTATCAGGTACCTAATTATTACACTGCCAATGTAAACGTAAAGGATATTAGTATATTTTACATGTATACACAGTGCTAAAATGACAAGATGACCTAACACATTAATAAGAAAGATAAGGCATATTTTTGGCTCTTGTTGGTGCTATTATCATTAATGGCTACTGAATTAACAATTTAGTGGTTGTTATAGGCAAAGACAAAGAGACAGATGACTTGATAGAAGCTGGAAAAGTTGACATAATTTGTGCATCACCAGAGTCCTTGGTTGGAGATAGCCGTTGGAGACAGACCCTTCAAAAACTGCATGTAACTGCAAGTAGTTGATGAATTCCATACAGTAGCCACCTGGCAAGTATTTTCTATTTATTTAAAATAAAATTAAACTTTTATAATTAGAATAAGGAAGAGGAACAGCATTGATGTTTAAAGTTTGGTAAAATTTAGGTTCTCCTAGGCCTCATGAACTATATTCCTCTTAAAAATTTAATTTAATTTTCATGTCATATTAACACCAGCAAGTATAAAAAATAAGGAAATTCTGTAATTAAAACATTTTAAAAAACAACAACTCTTATTTCAAATTTAGGGGTGGTCTAGAAGCAGAAAAAGAGGAAAAGGTCTTCAGAAGGTGGTTTCGACACATTGGAGAAATACGGTCATATTTTCCAGATGCACCTCTACTTGCATTAAGTGCTACATGTACGAACACAATTAAGAAAAGGGTCACAGAAGTTCTGGGATTAAAGGAGTATGAGTATATCACAGTTTCCCCAAACCAAAAAAACATAAAATATTTTGTGAAAAAGGTGGAGCAGAATATTGAGTCTTCATTGTTATGGATTGTGGACGCTATTTCTGAGATGAAGGAGAACTTTCCCCGAACAATAATATATTGTAAATCAATAAGAGACAAATTTACAATTTTCTTTCAACTGAATTGTCTAATATACACAATATCAAAGAAATGATAGAAATGTTTCATTCAGAAACATCTGAGGAAAAGAAAAAAAAACTACAATTGAAAATTTAACAAAGGAGAGTCAATTGCGGGTTGTTGTTGCCACCAGTGCATTAGGAATGGGAGTAAATGTATCATCATGCCACAATGTTATTATGTATGGGCCTCCCAAAAGTTTGATAGATTTCATCCAGGAAACGGGGCGAGTTGGACGAGATGGGCAACACTCATGTGCCATTTTATTGTATTATGGACAACAATTGAGAAATGTTGACCAGGATGTAAAAAAATATCTAACTTCAACAGAGTGCAGAAGAATTCAATTGCTTAAAACATTAAAAACTGTGCAGAATACTGGAAAATATACTTGTTGTGACATTTGTGAAACAATTTGTTCATGCAATTCTTGTTCTCTATCAGTATTGGAGAAAGCAGCAAGAAATCTGTCTTTTGACAGTGTTGAAGACATATTGGATTCCTCCAGTGACAGTGATACTTTGTCATATGAGTATGATTCAGGTGATGATGACCTTAATGAAATGAAATAAATGATGCACTTCTGAACTCTGTTTTTGTTTACTTTGTAGGATGGATCCAGCACATTCTATATTTTTGTTTTGTTAAAATTCCTGCTATATCTTCGGCATTTATTTAGTACATTTATATTCATTAATGCATCAAAAGTTGATAAGGTAAAATAAAAAGGTGTGTAGGATGTGTGCTGGATCTCTCCTCTTTTTAAGGTCACCTGAGTCAGTCAGGGGACCCACTGCTCTCTGTTTTTTACCGTCAAACGTCGTTCGTAAACTTTTGAACATGTTTATCTTCTTCTCTGGAACCAGTGAACCAATTTCAATCAAGTTTGGCATGTAGCATCTATGGGTGAAGGGGAACAAAAATTGTAAATTTCATGGTCCCTGCCCCCCTGGGGCCTGAGGGTTGTTGCCAAAACCACTGAAATTAATTCAATTTTTAAAAATCTTTTTTACTCATGGACAGCAAGCAGTCAAACTGTTTGCATAATTGTATTAAGCATTAAGTCCTCTATCAAAATTGTGAAATTCATGGTCCCAGGGTCAGGGGTTCTAGTGCTAGGGCGGGACTATATACATGTAGATTATATAGTGAAAATGCATTAATTCTTTGAAAATCTTCTCTGCTCCTGGATATTAAACAAACTGACTACATAGTTATGATGAGGATGGGTGTCTCTTCTAAAATTGAGAATTTCTTGGCCCCAGGTAGCTGCAGAACTGTAGCATTATGGTTTTATATTCTAGTCTTTGGCCATAATGCTAGAGATCCCGTAATGCAAAAAGACTTTTTGCGCAATTTTTTTGAGGATTTCTTCACTTTCCAGGATTAGTCAATCAACTACCTTTCACTCCCTAATTATAGACACATTCTTTAATCATGCAATCTGTATATTTTACCCACCTACCATCCCCATATATCTATCTTTACAGGCAATAAACTCCCTTGAAGTGAATTTTCAACAATCCAACAGATAATTCTAATCGAGCGAGTTTATCGCTTGTAGAGATGACTATAAAGGGTTGGTGGGTGGATAAAATATACAGACTGGTTAAAGAATGTGTCTAAAATTAGGGAGTGAAAGGTAGTTGATTGACCAATGCTTGTAAAAGAAATTCTCCTCAAAAGTGCGCAAAAAATCTTGCGCCGTAAATTGCACATTTTTTGCATTATGGGATCTGTAGCGTTATGGTCAAAAGCAAGAATGTAAAACCATAATGCTGCAGCTAGGCCCCAGGGTCAGGTGGGGGGTGGTTCTAATTATTTTATGAAAATTAATTCATGCTTTGAAATCTGCTCCTTGGTATTAGTCAAACATTTATGATGAGCAAGAGTGCCTTTTCCAGAATTGTGAAATGTGTGGAACCCGAGTCAGGGGTGGGGGGGGGGGGGGACTACTGATCATTGCTGAATATCACTGATAAGTTGAAATGCATTATTTTGTTCCCCTCCTCTGCCTATGGGTAATAAGTTTCCAAAGTAAGCATGTTAAGTGTATAGTTCTGATGAGCAATGGTTCCTCTTTCAAAATTTTGAATGTCATGGCCTCTGGTTTAAAACATGAACCAAATTTTATGGTTGGAAATTTGTTACATGATGCTCAGGTGACCTACAAGGCCCATGGGCCTCTTGTTTAAGTAAGATGAATAAGACCATAAGATATCCATATTTATTCTATTCAATTGTAAGAATAAAATAATTCAATATTAAACATCTTATATGGTGTGAAACAAACATCAATCCAGCATGTTGAGTAACATAATTATGTTCCCGAAACGAAGTTGGGGAACATATTGTTTTTACTCTGTTTCTTATTATTATTATGTCGCCCCGAACGAAGTCGGGGACGACATATTGATATTGTACGCATGTTTTTTTTATCCAGGCTGTTTCTCGGAGATGGCTGGGACAATCTTCCTGAAACTTTCCTCAAAGGACGATCACTGGTTGTAGTTGTGCAGTGAGGTCGTTCAGTTCCAATATGTCTACCGTTGCTATGGAAACCTGTAAAAAGCGACAAATTTTGTCCGAGAGTGTTCTCTCTGGTCCCTTAAACGCTCGTCATGAAACTTTTCTTATTTTAAGGATTAGTATCTGTAGTTCTGCAACTCGTATTTAAAATTTTCATATAATCGATTATTGCCATGGAAACCGGGTGAAAGTAAAAATTCTTTAATTTCGATTTTCTCAATAACTACTCAGGCAATCGTTTTGAAACTTTCAATGTTTATTCCTTGCAATGTGTCAAAGTGATTTCTACTTTCAAAATAATTGTAATGAGTCGCTCACGGTTGCCATAGAAACGAAGCAGAAAAAAAGATTCAGATGTACACATGTGTTCTCCAAGGTCTAGGTCAAAGGGTCAAAGTTCGTCGTATCCAATAAAAGTTCTTTTCACAAGGATTACATATTTGAAATACGAAAGCCCTAGTACTTACCGTTCAAACGTTATGGCTATTTACTATGTTCAAGACGACCCCCCCCCCTTTTTTTGAAGCACACAGCCAAGTAGAATACACAGATATAACATATACAACTTACAAGTAACTTTTTAAAATCTTCATTCATAAAATTCAGTTCCCGTCATGTGATATATATATATATTTTGCCATCATTCATTCTCCTTCTGTTTTGTCTCTTGAATTTATAAATATTTTATTTTATCTATATAAAAAAAATAACGATTGTCACCTGCATTTATTATCATTTCGCGTTTTCTTGTATATCTATCACTTGTATATTATTCATTTCATTAGATAGTGCAAGTATAAATTAAAAAATTGGTACGTCATTTCCATAGTTTTTATTCATTCATAAATTCTTTGATCCGCTCCTGATGGTTCGCAAAGCCTTGATCACCACTGTATACAAAACATTCATCTCGCCGAAAATGTTCATGATTCCGCTAAACTGAGAAAGTTCACACATGATTTATCATCTCATAACACACATCAGCTCTCTGCAATGCAGAAATGCTCGAATTGATGGTGGCATGTCAGATTCGTTTTTCGGTAGAACCTCTAAAATGAAAGTGAAAGAGGGAAATTTCAGAGTTCCCACTGGCGTTACAATACACAAAATAATTCGGCTGATCTTCTTCATAAATTACATTTCCCAAGCTTTTATGATAGGAAAGATACTGCCAATTAACAAGTATGAGGCTCAGTTCAGTACATCTGCCAGATTTCGTTTATGCAAGTCTGCAAATTGAGGAACTTGTAATTTTCCTGCACTACTTTCTTCTTCTACCGATTCTAAAAATAATGAGAGGGATGTACCGAATTAAGGTCTTCCGTTTCCAATGGAAAGGACTGATATAACTCAAAGGTTTTCAAACTTAGCTTATGGACTTTTGTTTTAGTGATGATAAAAATGAAAGTCTTGTCTAATACGGGGCGACATATGCTATTGCTTGCAATAGCAGACTTTCTAGTTATTATTATTTTTCTTCTCGGGAAAATTTTGTCCGCGAATGATCTTGTAAAGTACACATCCGATTAAGGGGAAACCTTTTTAGGATAAGTAGGCATGTTATGTAGATTTGCGGAATCAAGGTCATTTTGCGCGCACGTGCTTGCAAGAGCGCGCACGTGCAAAACTTGAAATGACCAATATATAATGGATATAACCGTAACTTTTCTATTTTTAGACGAAATGTTTTGAAACTCATAATGTAAGGATATATGAGTAGTATGCACAAGATGACATGGTCAAAATAGCAAGATCGCACGTGCAAGCACGTGTACTTCGCTCTGATTAGCTGAAACTAAAGTCTCAATATCTTTCTTGTTTTTTGATAAAATCATTTGAAATTTTGAACATAGTCATATATTAGGGAGATCTACAGCCCGTAATAAAAGAAATATCATGAAAGCATGTGCATGCACGTGTGCTTGCAAGAGCTCGCACGTGCAACACGAGAATTGTCCAATATAATTGATACAGACGTAACTATTTAAATTATTGATGATGTGCTTTAAAACTCATATTAGAAGTATATATTAGAAGCATAGACGAGATGACATGGTCAAAAAAGCAAGATCTCACGCGCATGCACGTGCGCTTCGCTCTGATTGGCTGAAACTAAAGTCTCAATATCTTTCTTGTTTTTTGACGAAATCCTTTGAAATTTTAAACATAGTCATGTATTAGAATATCCTACAATAAGATATATAGCAATTATCATGAAAACGCGTGCATGCACGTGCGCTGCAATCTGATTGGCTTATGCTTTAAATAGCTATAACTCCCTTGGTTTTCAACCAAACAGGATGGGATATGGAACATGGATAGATATAATGGACTTCTACAAGAAGACATGGTCACCATGCACATGCATACACGTGCATGTACGTGCGCTGCAATCTGATTGGCTGAAACTTTGAACAGCTATAACTCCCTTGGTTTTCAACCAAACGGGGTGGGATTTAGAACATAGATAGATGTAATGGACTTCTACAAGAAAGTATGTTCGTCATGCTCATGTGAGCACGTGCGTGCACGTGAAATGAGTAAAATCAAAAATACACTTGAATTAGCGTATTTTTTAATACTTTTTGATTAAATACTTTGATATTTAGTATATGAAAATCTATAGATTGTGAAGACAAGATAATATGGTCATTACGCACGTGCATTCACATGCACACGCGTGCAATGCTAAAATTTGAATGAAATTGGTACACTTCTGGGTAAACGTTGTTAAAGTCTCAAATGCATAGAGTTTGTCTTATTTTATGAAGCTTATAGGGAATATGGCACCAAAAGGGAGTTGGGGAGCGTTTGGGGAACATCTGTAACGGTCCCCGTTACAATTAGCACTAGTTTCATATGAATTTCTTTTTTTTTTTTACCAAAAACAAATATACTCCATTATACTATTTAACAATATTTATACTTGATAAATTTTACATGTTAAATCTTTCAACCACTTTTCATTTGAATGCAGCTTACAAGAAAGGTGAAATAAATGCCCTCTAAAGTAAGTCTCGGGGGAAAATAATTCCTAAAAAAT